ACCATAGGAGAAAAGTACACAATCTCCCAAGGACAGTTATTTGAACTGTCACATCCAAAATAATGACAACTGGATTACCTGCACTGAGGCACCAGTGATCACTCATACATATGTTCAGCCATGTCATGTTTGAAGATTCAAAGGATAGTATATGTAGGATAGCAGCACACAAATAGATGAGAGATACAACAATTAACATTTTGGGTTCTGCAACAATTAGAAACCATTTTCAGTGGTATGCAAAATAGGCATCACCCTAGGTGATATGTTATCCATAATTTGTCTACAAAACACTGACAGAATTACTGTTATATTCATTAAGTACTATCTTACCAGAGGTAGAGACGAACATCCTTCACACATGGGAAAGGCATTATATAAACAAGTGGCTCAAAAAGCTACCTCATCTTCAGAGACCATTTACTGCATGAGAGTTGAGGTTTTGCTAAGCTTGCGTAACTGGATGTGTTGCATATTTCCGTTCACCTGAATAAAATTAAGCCTCCAATATAAAGGTATTTCTTTTGCACATTTTTGCTTTACACCAAGGTATATATTATTGGTATATATTTATACAAAGTACTTTAATGACAGCTGCGTAACATATCTTTATAATATATATCTCTTTCACTGGGACTCTTTTTTAAAATTGAAATTTATCTTGGTGAGTGCTAGAAAAAAAAATCTGGGAAGTAGCAATGAATAAAACTGCAGCCTGAAGGAGATCATGGGCTGATTTCTATCCTCAGAAGAGCTCTTCAAAGGCTTTCATCCTTTTTGCTGCCAGGATGCTGCTCCATTTTCAAAGTAAAATCTCCATGAAGCTCTCTACTGTATGATGCAGTCTTTGCTTTTACATATTCAAGAGAATAAAGAGAAAATTTGTGTCTTGTTCTTCAAAAAAAAAAACAAAAAAAAGACAAAACCACATAATCCAAGGAAAAAGGAAATTAAGAACTTGTGGCAAAAATTGAGTAAATTGTGCTCAGAGAGGAAAGAGCTCAGAGCCTGGAATCAATTTTCCTATCTAAAATACTTCATCAAGATATATGATACTGACCTTTATGATTTAATATTTACTATTGTTGCTTACCAGTAACAACATTATTATGTTATGGAAATATAAGCAAGAAGACTGTATGACTCAAAGGGTTTTGCACAAATTGAAACAGCATTTTCTTACAGATCTATAAATGGCAGGTAGTGATGGTCTAGCATGGTTCAGGCATGGGTAATGAAAATTTCAAGGTAAGTTTGCCACGATGCAAAAGCTTAGGACAGTTTATTCCTTTACACAGTTTATTCCTGTATAAGGAAGCCCAAATACTTTATAATGACATAACAACCACAGACCAAACATATCTTTTTATATAATTTCCATGTCAAAGGTCTAAAATTAATTGCTTTAGCATGTACCTAATCTCAAAATTCAAGTCCTTGCTGAATTTGGACCTAATGCAGATGAAAAGATTGGCAAGCTAAAGAAAACCCTACGGTTTTGTTTCTCATGAAAAGCTATTTTAAAGCTAGATATCCAGCCATGCAAGATGAGAAATAATTTTTCAACTCAGTGAAGTCACTCTTACAGGAGGTCTAGTACTTTACAGGACCTGGAGTTTGCTTTGTTTATTTTTCAGTACTTTAGACTAGGAAGTAACAGTGTAAGTCACACAATAAAGTTTAGTAGTTGTTTTGTTTTCCTACATTAGAAATTTTCAAATTTGATGGACAGGACACTGTAAGCCAAGTCTCAGATTTCACAAGGAGACAAAAATTAAACGTCACATTCTATTGTATTCATTTTATTGCCTTTATGAAGCAATATGAAAGCAGCATTCAAAGTAATGAAAGCAGTATGAGAAAACTGAGAAAAAATCCAGTAGAATGATATAAAGAGTCATTAAACATGAAGTCTAAGGTAGACTGCCTTATGTTAACCATAAAGGAAACCAGTAGATTTGACAGGTTCTACTCGAAAGACTTTGATACAAAGGTAGCCATAAAAAGCTGAGATTTTAATTAATTTTCTCTAATATTCAAGAAAAAACTTTTAAAATTCAGAAAGAAAACTTTAAAGCCTATCCTCTTAGTAGGCCCCAAGGTCAATCTCTTTCCCAGTTTCTTTTCAAAGAGTTGATAATATATCTTTTCAATGCTTTTCTCTTTTTTTTTCCCAAATACTTTGATTTCTTTTATTACTACCTGTAAGCCAGATGTTCCCTACTTAGAAAAAGGACTGCATTTGTAGGCCACTATTATTGTCATAAAATAAGACCTTCTAATTCAAGGAACATTCACATGCTAGACTATTTTGCTATTTTGAGGTCCTCCAAATTCTTGTCCATGCTTTTCTTTGCAAAGATTGCTTTGAGAATGCATTAATCTACACCAATTAAAGAATTTGCAGGTAGCTACTTCTAGAACAGGATGTAGGCCCCTGTGAGACACTGCAAAGCTGCACCCTTCGTGCACATGTGCCACATGGAGCTTAAGGTGGGGGCAAGCCTTTGTGTTAAAAATAAAAATCCCAATATTGTTATAAATAAAAATCCCAATGTTCAAGTTATATGGTCTTGTTTCAATCCCAATTTAGGTCCCTGGATAAGGGTTTTTGGTGTTGCAAGTCCCAAAAGGGCTCACTGTTAAGAAGTTCATACTTGTTTTATCCTTGCATTTGTACCCCCACCCCTTACTCCCTTCCAACCCGTCGAGTAATTCAGCCGCTGCTACCCAGGATGAACTTCCCCATTTCCCATAAAGACTTGCACACGGGTGCATATTAAAATCATATTACCACCTGGGAGCAAAGACAGCCCTGGACAACGAGCCACTCTCAAGAAACATCTGGAGGACCACACTGTGGAGGCAGTGGGGACCTGGGGAGACTGGGTGCACTGACCTCGGTCCAGCAAACTGGTCACCATGACCTGGACAGGACTTGAGAGGGAAGACACCCCTGGACTTTTGAGCCTAAAACAGAGTCTCTGGGTGATCCCAGCGAGGATAGAGGCTCCAGTCCTGCCAACAGTGGATGATGACAGGCCTGTGTGGTCCTCCTCCTCGACATCGACCATGGGGAGCAGCGGCGGCAGTGTGCACCCTGGGCTCCCGCCTCTAGGCTTAGTTCTTCCCAATAAAGGCTTATCAAAGGGAGCAGAAGGTCTCCTGGCCCTTTAATTTACATAATTTGGGTTGCTCCTGCCTCAGCAACAGGTGTTTATTGATTTGTTATTTCATGTGCTTTGCTCAGGGCAAATCCTTGAATCCTTAGACCAGGTCTTTGCACTTACAGTGTTAATTTTCTTAAGCCAGACCAATAATGTCATGGCTTGGTGTGACAAAGAGCTCTACAAAAAAATGCTGGTGTGACTCTGCAAATCAGTTGGAGCCAGTAAGTCACCATTTCTGTTCAAAGAGCTTAACATTTCTTGCCATCAAACAATGAAAGCATCTTTTGGACACATTATTCACTAATTGCTTGCTATGTCCTATAGCCCCACAAAGGCAAATTTTCACCTTCTGAAGAAAAAGGACCAGACAATTAAGACCAAGCCAGAACTTCACTGAAGTACTTTAATTTGAGAAATATTAATAAACTTTCAAAGAATTAATTTATGTGGCATTTTCCATTTTATATGAATGAAGAAAATGCTCCATCTTAATAACACATCTAGCATTTTTAGAAATACTGAAACATCATCCATCATAGACCAAATTACCCAGATTTGTGTTCATAAAGAAGTCAGTACATCTACTCAAAAAAAAAAAAATATTTTGAGGGTGGCAGAATTATGTTTTACCATATGTATTTTTTTATATTTTTAAGGACCATTGGGATAGTCCTGTTTGAAAAATGAATACTTCATCACAATGCCCCTGAAAAACAATACAGATCTAGGTCCTAATTCTTCCATCTTACCTAAGCAGATAAACTTTTTGAAGGTCTCCTGCAAAACCTGTTCAGCAAGAGACGTTGAACAGTGAGAGGAATGACTGATTTATCTTCACAAACAAGCCATGGGTATGCTGACAGATGAAACTAGCACTGAGAGATAAAAGAAAGAATGGGATGGATTCCACTGACCGATGAATGGAAAAAGATATTTGCCTTTACAAACATTTAAGGTTTAACATGTAGGTATGCTGGTAAATGAAACTGCGTATTGAAAGATGAAAGAGACAATGGAGAAACACCATAAATTCCACAAGAATTAAAAATTAAGAGGGAGGGTTATACATTAGAGAGGAATCTTAGGTATCAGGCATTCCGGGAAGCCTGTACCTCTCAAATACCTCAGCCTATGGGGAAAGAGAGAAGGGACATGCGGCTGGGAGATTAGGATTAAAAGGAGGCTGTGTCCTCCAAAAACCGAGACCCCAGGGGAATGCCCCATGGCCTCTCCCGTTATTCGAATAAAGTTAAAGGACTCCTCTGTCTCCTTTTTGGAAATAAACCGCTGGTGTTTGTGGATTAATTTTCCTGATAGAAGGGTTCCCATGCGGTGGCTATGCGTGGTTGAGATAGAGCTCATTTTAAGTGCCCAAGCTCCAGCTCCCTATTTTATATTATGAATTTCACTGAAAACATCACCGCATTCAAGTACACTGGACAAGCTTACAAGCCACAGTCGGCACACCCGCCTTGGATCCTTCGCCACCAGTACTGCCTTGTGCCCTGCCCAGCACCCGTCCCTCGCAGGACACCACTCCGTGGCTCCCCGCTGCTCCGAGTCCGTGCTACGCCCCCCCGCCCCTGCACCCCGCAGAGGGGTCTGCAGACTTTACCCCTCATTTCGCTGACCACCGCTTGCAGTGGTCAGCCTCTCCTATGCCGGCAGGAAGCGGCTTCACCCCCGGGCCCGATCGCACACGGACCCGCCCGTTCCTGCCGGAGGGCAGCCGGAGGGGCACGTGGCGCTTTGTTCCTTCCCCGCGGGCTCACATGGCTCGGAGTCCTCCAAGCGGACCCCGAGCCCGTTCCGCAGACTCCAAACCGTTACCTGCGGACCCCAGCCCGTCCACTGCGAACACCGAACCGTCCCTGGAGGACTCCAGGCCTTCCCCTGACAACCCCAGCCTCTCCCCTGCGGCCGCCGCTCCACCGGGCCCCGCTCCCGACCCGGCGCGGACCAGAGCGGGCGCGGAG